GCTTATGCAGACACCTCTAACTGATGATATCGTCATGTACACACACAACATACATGGTGGCATCGGTGTAAATCAGTTGTTATCAGCTTAAGGTATGACTCTTTGCGAGGAAGATGTGAGGAGAAGGAAGAGGATGGTAATGAAGCAAACATAGTGAATCACGAGCATCATGTGACAGCTGAACATGGGCAAGATCAGCCATTTATCTTCAGCCGTTGTTTTCAGGTTCAACCTCTAACGATTAGATTTTAGTGCTTCATTTTTGCACCAACTTTGTAAGATTTTATAGTTTCCCTTCTAGTGCTAACTTCTGGATAGCACTGCTCGTTATTTGCTTTATGACTTTCGCCTCAATGACGTAGCGGAGCGGTAGCGAAACCCATCACCGGTGAAAGACTGATTTAACACCAGTCTTCCCATTCGGTTCCCTCAGCCGTGGAGCAACAGAGTTGTTAGAGTCCCTACAGTTCTTGACTGGTCGTTGTTTCCCAATCTCATTTCTTTTCGAGTGTTATTCTGTTTTCGCAACTCTGCATCCTCATTTTTATCTTGTCTAATTTATGCTGCTTATGACTTTATCTTTCAGAAGAAACACTTCGTTGCCTTGGTCGGCCTGGTGTCACCGTCAGCGGTGTCTGTGATGTAGCAACTTTCCGGAGGAATGTGAGGTAACTCTCAAACCTCGGCACTCGTTATGCGGTGCACTGCGCGCTCGTTTTTGACAGTTACTGAGTGTGCACGTTTGTTTGAAACAAGTGCAGGCGAACGGCTGAGCAAAGCGCAACACTTCTGCCGGATGATGCAACAAGCAGCAATTAAGAGAGGCAAAACAGGGCAGTTGAGGAGCGAGCTAGCAAACAGACGTCGCAGACCACTTCGACGAACAGCAGGCCTGAAGGAAGCGACGTTGCGGCTCAGATGATGACTGATCGACGGACAACGGGCACCGACAGTCAACCAGAGAGTCAACTCGACCAATCGTGTCACGGAGCAGAGGTGTGCGAGGCGATGACGGCCTGTCCTCTCGGTGAGGGTTGAATCATATGCAAGAAAAATCAAATTATTCTCTTCTCCTCATACGTGGCTCAGCTGCTCAAACGCGTAAGCATCGCACGTCATCTTCGTTGAAGCACGTGCCAATGAAGTGGCTACCTCCGCCACGAGGATGTGCCACGTGTTCCGATGACGCGATCGAGGAGGAATTCTTGAACGGGAATCTCACAATCAGCAAACTGAAGGAATGAACGAAAGACAATAGTTTCTGTTACTTCCGGATTTTCACCAAGTCCCGCTGCTGCTAGTGGCTGAGGGGACCATTTAGCACGCCACTGTTGCATGGAATTTGAACACCTACATTGCACGCATGCAGAACCGCACACATCACCAGGCAAAGACCGAACAAGGGTCTGTTCGTACACCTACAAATATGCCACTATCCGTAGGCACATTAATACACAAAAATTAAACCTCATCTTGTGAGCTTACTAGTATACAGCTAGTTGTCGATACCGCTGCTAGGATATACAATGCTTGTAAGTTTTCGAA